CACTACCATCCTTTTTGCCTCAGACTGTGCAGCTTTAGATCTCTAATTCTAATGTATATTTATATTCATCCTCTTCACTCTCACATCATTCCTGGTGCATTATCATAACTTCCAAATTGGTTTTCCTGTCCTGATTCTCTCGTATCCTATACTAGATTAATGATGTGAAGTACTCTCTTTATCAGATTACTTCCCTTTCTCAATACTTTTCAACCATGGCCCATATCCTTTTTAACCCAAGATCCCAGTCAAAACAGTGCAGTCTCTCTAACCTAATATATCCATCCCTAATGGGAAGTTATCTTCCAGTCAGTCTTACTCTTCCTCAAGCATACATTGTATCATCTTATCTTGTTTTCTATACCTAAAATTTTCACTAACCTGCCACTATCAGAATGTCGGGCATTATTTGTCAACTTTCTACTCAACCACCACTTTATCCCTTCTCTGTATAACTAACTATACCCACAAGATGTGGTTCTTCCTTCCTCCTTCCCTGTCTTCCTCTATATTCTAGTAATAATTATTTAATTCATTTTGATTGCTTTTGATTACTATTGTATATACATATTAGTAGTCCCTTGTATATTGATTGACACATTGTGTTACTTTTATCAGTTTTTACTCAAGCCATGATGTATTTTGAGCTTCCAGTTAACAGGGCATTTTTTGAAAATTTTTGCTACTATGTCTTTTACTCCATCCTTACACACACACACACACATACACACACACACACACACATCTCCTGCCCTTTTCCTCCTCATCTGCATCTTTCAATCCATCTCTCCCTCTCTCTCCCCTTTCTTCCCACTCTTCTCTCTCTTCCTCCATATATACAACCTCTCATACACAGAGCTACCATACTAGCATTGCTCCTTGTGTGCAGTGAAGTTTTATGATTCTTGAAATGAAATCACATGACACCTTAATAATTTAATGAAGTTCCCACCATCATTAGCAAGGACTGTAGTTGTTTTATACTGGAGGGATTGGTATTTAATTTTATTCTTTTACTTAAAAAAACCCTACAAATTCCTTGAACTTGAAACACTTTTAAATTCTAGCCACCTGGTAATCTAGCTATTTAATAATTTTCATTTCATGAAGCAGCAGTTATACAGTATTTTCATTAAGATTAGAAACATTTTCTCAGATAATATATGAGAATAGTGAGAATTGAAAGTACATAATCTTCACCAGTTTGCTTTGAACTCAGTATTTTAAGTGTCAGATACTGAAGTGTGCTATATTTTTTTATATTGGTCAACTCCCAAGAGTTGAATAAATATTTGCTCAAATATCTAATCCACAATAATGAAATATAAATGAATTAACTTTATCCTTAATGAGTCTGGTGGACATTTATTCTAATCCACTAACATAGCTTGTTTAGTTAATTTGTACTCCATCCCTCTCTTCCTCTAACTCCTACCCATATACATAGATCTTACCCAATGAATCTATGACCAAAAAAAAATATATATATATATATATGGGATAATTGGTAGGAATAACATCCATAATCCATTTGTGGTAAGAGAGCTGTTTAACTCTCCATAAGCTAACAATATAAAAAAGTTGCCTCAACATTACTTTTCTTCCCTGTTTTTACATTATTTCTCTAACCTCTCACCCTTACTTTCCCTCTACTGTCATAATGTATTCCTATGGGGGATAATCTCTTCTCATGCTTTTGTCCCTTAAAACTTCTTTTTAGTCCATAAACACAAATAGGACACATTTCACCCCTTACTAGCAGCACAATCCATTTTACCTAGAAAAACCCATTTTATGGCTTTATCTGAAAACCAACATTTCTCAAATATTCACACACTTCCCTCAAAGCCTTAATGACATTGCTTTTTCTCTGACTGCTATATATCAGTAGCTAATTCCAAACTCTTTCTTCAGTCTCACTTACACCATTACTCTGTGTGAGAGGGAGACATACCCTAAAAACTAGGTTCCTTGACATTTCTCAAATACATGCCCTGGGCTTTCTTGCCTCTTGACTTTACTAACCCTATTCTTCTCCCTAGAAAACCCTTTGCCCCACTCTTTTCAACTAGAAACCTCCATCTTTTTATGTATGAGTACTGACTTCGTAGAGTCTATAATCATTGAGAAAATGATGGTAAATTTTGTAGGTGTTCTTAAATACATTTTTTTTAAAGGAGAAGTTACATATTTTTTTAACACTTTCTCAGAAGGAGGCCAAAAGCCCCCTTCCCCACTAAAACTTAGAGAACGTTGTTTTCATTTTCATTTACCTTTATAAATTACACTTTTATTTTTGTTATATATAGCTTTGTTTTCATAGTTGTGCATTTATTCATATATATGACTACCTAACCTATCTCTCTCACTACATCATAATATCCTATACATTATGAGACTTTTTTTTATCCTGGTCCCCTGTACACTATTTTATATATGTTAGGTACATAATCACTTATAAATAGATCTCGTCCTTTAAAAAAGTAGTCAAAGCTATATGATCCTTTCATGAGATTAAATTTCTCTTCAACTTTAAAAAAATGAATATGATAAATACGTTGTTTTTTTTTTTTTGTGTGTGTGTGTGTGTGTGTGTTTGTGTGCCTTTCTCAGAAATTCTTACCAGGTAGAGGTGAAAAAATATTCTGATTGTTCAAAGGGACAAAAAAGAACCAAAAGTCTGAAGGTCCAAGGCATTCTAGAAAGTCAGTCCACTGCTGGGGAATCCAATTTGACCCATGTCTCTATACTCCTTAACAGCCTCCCTCAAAACTCTTTAAAAACTGTCCAGAAGTGCTGAGGATATAGTCCAGTGGAAGGCCCTGGGTTTAATCCCAAGTATGTAAATGAGTAAATACATATAAGACAAAAATGAAAACTGGCCAGAAATGAGAGGATCATTTCCTAACAACCACACCTTCCAGGGAATCAAATAGAAATCTGGGACCATCACAGTACCAACTTTAAAATACAAGCAGACCTCTAAGAAAAAGATGTGTTCAGATCTTCTAAGATAAGAAAGTGATGGTTTATCCAACTTAAACTTGCTGCTTTACAAACCCAGATCATGAACATCTTCCTGAGTGTTGTTCAGCTATTATAGTTCCGATAATTTTTACTTTCATTTAAACCTATAAGTCACAGGCTACAGATCATTGTATTTTTATTTATTAGACTGAAATCTTATCTCAAAATTTCCACACTCAAACTTTAAAGAAAATGTAGGCATTTTAGCAAATTGCAGTTTGATTCAGTTCTTCTTAGAAGTGATTTCTAGTCACACGAATCTTTTCAGATGTTTTTAAAGCAAGAGCACTTATTGATTGCTGCTAAGAGATGTCATGTCAAAGTTCTTTAGTTTTACACTTTAAGATTTTGGCAAAGTGTTTATTAACTCATTTCAGTTGCATTGCTCTAAAGTGCATCTTTTTTCACTTATGCAATATCACTTTCTTCTGTTTATTTTTCAAGTATAATGATAAACTATATTATTTTCTTATCTGGCAGAGAGAATGTTTTAGAACCAGTCTATATAGTTTTGTGATCTCAAAAAGAAAAGTTAATAGAATAAATTGTATTATATAGTTTTATGAATTAATTTAATATTCATTTTAAGAATATTTTCTATAAATTCTTATAATATTCTGCTCCATATTACATTTTAGTATAGGGAAGAACTCGCAATGTGGGAAAGTAATATAAAATAAAATTAAAGCTATTAATTCCCAAGTTGTTTATAAGAAAATTAGATTTCATGTTGATATAATTGATACTGAATGTTCTATCTATAATGTGTTGTATGATAAAGAAAATGGAAACTTGGTAAAAAAATTTAAAAAAAAGACTGTTATAGATAACAGTTATCTTCTATCATTTTTCTTTGGGAGGGGCAGTATGTTAAAATTTTAAGACATTATTAATTTCCATAGCCAAAGTAAAGTGTCAGAAAGTTAACTATATATTAAAGCATTAAATATTTTTATAACTGCTTATACTAAATTGATGATGTGATCAGATTTTCAAAAGTAATAATATATATTTTCTCTTAAATTGCATAATGCAATTTTAAAACATAAATGCAATGCTAATATTGATAGTATAACCCAAAAACCACAGAGCATTTCAAAACTGTTTATTAACAGAATGTGCAATAATAATACTAGGAGCTGAAAGATAAGCTACCATTAAATATGAGGTTATCATGAGTATGTGATATTTATCATTGGCCCTGCTACTTAGTAAAATTACGAATTGAGTAAGATTTTATTGTTGTTCATAATATGCTAAGATTACATGGAATAAAATTTTCTGTAGTTGCCCCTTTTGTTTGTTGGCTCTGAATTATTTTCTCTTCTACATTCCATTTCTGCTGTCATTTCTAATATTTCTGCCTTACTACCACATCCTAAAATATAACATAGGGGCCACAGTTACATATGAATATTCATTCATATGTATGACCCTTTACTTTCAAATTTTAATACAAGACTAAAAGAGGGATATATGGATTTCATAGCTTTCAAACATCAAGTAAGGATTTTTTTGTACATTTGCATTAAAATGCTAATGCATATTAAGTTCAGAATCTATTGCATGATTTTTCTTTCATGACAGAATAGAACAAATATTAAATACTCTTTGGGCGGGAGACTATTTAGAGAGTGGTTACTATCCCACATCTTGAACTTTGAGTCAAGAATGTTTTCTCATAGCTAGAAAAATCCACCGGGGTTCCTACTCCTCAGGTCTCCATACTGATTATAATTACACAGTGTTCAAAAAGATTTACTTTTGTGATAGGGCTTATTATTAATGTGCCTATTTTTATTTTATTCTCTGGGTGTGGGGGGAAGAAAAGGGGAAAACACATTTAGTGATAGCTATTCATTAGCCACCATTGAAGAAGGGATTAAACTTTAAAAGAATCTATCAAAAATCTCTGGTCAGCCTTTTATTACTATCTTGTCTTGAGCCCTTTTTTTAATGACATCTATTATCAGATTGAAATGGCGATTGAGATTGCAAAAGTCTGATGGTCTGTCCACTCACAGAAGCTCTCTTCTCAACAGCCATGTAAGTTGCCTCTTCTTCTTGTAAACTAATCTCTTGCTTGTTCTGCATGTGTTGCTTGCTTCTAAATGCTTGTTTTGTTTATTTACTTATTTTGCTTCTTAACCTTCCTTTCTCAGCCCTTTATGATCCTTGAACTATTAAATGGCTATTTTGTACAGTGGAATATCTCAACAAAAGTAGAGACCATGGTGGACAGCTTTATTAGATTTTTCTACTGTTTGGGTGCAGATACAGTACTTTCAAGTTAACAACAAGCTGTCATTTATTTGTGAAAATCAATGAATAGTTATTTTTAAATGTTTAAAGTTTTCTAGTTTGATATTTATTTAGTATGAAGCAAATACTTGCAATCTAGATCTCTGTCAGAGATATAGAAACAGCCAAGTCTGCTTGTGTGACTAATAAAGTCTTTAGTGGATAAAAAATTATTAATGACAAATCCAGTGGTTATCTATTTGAAAATGATTTATTTACCAGTAAGACTAACTATGGTGGATAGAATACAGCTGCATAGATAGACTCAGGTCCTAAAAATTAAAGAAAAGTGAAAATGGGCCAAAAGAAAAAGTAGGGTTTTGGGTAAGCCATAAAGTTGCTAATAATAATAAAGACAATAATAATCATAAACTGCTAATAATAATGAAACAGAATTACCATTACTATTCTTGAAAAATCTTCACCATTATCAGATTCAGCATCATTATGATACTGGTAAGTGTTAAGAAGAATGATGAGAATTTTGTGAAATGATAAATATTTTCATCAGTTGTTGAAGCTGGAAACCATTTGAAAATGCTGATTAAAAAATTACTTTGTTAAAGGTGATTTCTGAATACATCAAAAAAGTGAATAGAACTGTGATTTAAATCTATTTTCAATAAATCTGTTAAATTAATGTTAGTGACATTTTAGTAAGAATTACAGTTTGTCTTTCTAATTGATGATGTGTTCTTAAATTTAGGGATGAAATTATTATGATTTCTTAATTCTTCTGTTGCTGTGATTGAAAAGTTTAAAATCTGGATCACCTACATGAAGTAATATTTTTTCAATAAACCTAAAACCTTTGGTTCACAGAAAATATTTTCGTTATGCTTTTTAAGTATTTGAACTTTGAAACATGTAAATTTTAAATTCCCAAAATAACACTACCTCCTTATGTTCTAACACATTTGTTTTTAGATGGGTATTTTGTCTGGTTTCTTCTTCAAGGGAAAGTTTCCTGGCAAACAAAAACAAGTTAGCCAACTTGGAAGATGCCTGTAATATTGATGAAAATTATACTTACAAATTTAAAATTCTAGCATATATTTTGGTGTTTCTGAAATAGTTTAAAAAGTATTATTTTCCCCTTTCTCTAAATTTGTGCTCTTTTATGTATTTTATAAATATATCCCTGCTATAGTATGATGAGTGTGTAGTTGTGTTAAAGGCTAATTTACTATATTCTTGTAGGCTGTGCATGTGAGGGGAGGGATGATAACCAACTGGTATTTGTCTTTAGAAAATGGCAAGTGAAATGAAACTGTTTCTTTGAGTCAGAAATGTTCCAAGAACATTAGAAAAAATAACAAAAACCCTGAGGTTTCCAGTTGTTCCTTTTTCAACTTTTAGACATCTAGTTGTGTTGTGCTTATTTAATATTCAATTGATGTTTCGCTTTTATTAGAAACATAGTATATTAAAATATATGATGTGCTTAATTTTAACTCTAAAGTTTAATTACCTAACTCAATTAGTATTTTAATGAACAATAATATAGGTATAAAGATATGTTTTTGTTTATTTTTTAATTTGTTTGAGACTTTTCAAATATATTGTAGTTTTCAAAAATTATTTTTATCTTGTTGAATCTGTGAACTAATAGTTTGTGTTAATAAGTGTGAATTAAGCCATATAAACAGTAGACAACTATTTATTAATCGATGGCATCATATTTTTTTATTATATAGTATGGCAAATCTTCCATACTTTAACTGCCCAAGGCATTTCAATATTTAGAAAGGAACCAGCACAAGTGTCACTAATGTAGTGATAATCTTTGTCTAGGTAGCCTGATTCATTTGTATCACACCTCTGAAGTATAGTGAAGTTCATTCAAAACCACATTTATCATTAAGTCTTTAGAGATACAAATGATTTCTACAGATGGTTTGTTAACAGTAGAAACAGGATCAGTGCTTTTGTTAACCAATGCAGTTAGTTTCTCCCTGAACATAGAAAAAGATCCTGTTGTCTTTTTGTCCTTGGAAAGTTAACATGCTCCTGATTTTTATTAGATTTATCCAAACAGCTGGAGTAATCTGCATGCCTTCTAGTTAACCTTGGAAAGAATGTTTTAGATTCTGTGAGCTTTTTGGTGATTTTTCTGTTAAATAAAATTTTTTTCATTGGAAAATTATTTTAAAATATTGTTAATATGTTAAATGTCAAACTATGTTCTTTATTCTTCACTTATAGGATATAATATAGAATTATTTGAGGTTTGCGTGATTCTTTAAGGTAGACATGAGTTCAGCTTAACAATGATGAAGTCTTCAATTTCTCAGTTTCTAAAAAGTATTAATTTTATTAAGAAAAAATTTGTAGGAAATTATCACTAATATGTATCCCATATTTACTAGTATCTAAAGAAAAGTGTGAATCATGACTCTTGAACTGAGAAGTCTTCTCATTCTATTTTGGGATATGGAGTACAAAGGATTTCCTGTTTTTTTCTTTATACATTTGATTATTCACAGTAATTAGAAGACTCTTATTAGGAGCAAATTCAGTGGATCCTGATAGTTTGCTTTGCTTTTCACCTTTCTTTCCACACATTAGGAGAGGGGTGGGACATGAAATTTTATATCCCATTTTTAGCATATTCTTGAGTGTTTATACTGCTGATCTGTTTTTAATATTATACTATTATCACATTGATGAAAACACACATATAACCTACTCATTTTGTATACTAATGTGATGAGTACAGTTGTACTATGTGCAGTGACTTATTCTACTAACAATATTAACATGATGGCAGTTATTTCAGTACTGGTGTTTTATAGAATGTCAGTAAATGTTTGTTGGCAAGAGAAAGTTCTAAGGGACTAAGGATTTTGTATATTTTGTCTACCAAGACAGACTGTGCACCTAGACCAGTACTAGACATCATGAATGCTCATTAAATACTTGCCAAATGAATGAATACTATAAATAATAAAAGGCAGCAGACCTTATCTTACCTGTAGTGTTCTAGAATGACTGCTAGTCCTATGTTTATTTGGAGACTCATATGCATTGTTTTCTAAGTGTTCTTCAGTAAGCATATGTGTGAGCATTGTTGATAGAGGGTGGCCTCTTCTGATATACTAAAGAAAAATATGTGGTCACTCTATCATTTTTCTATGCGTAGTCTTTAGTTTAAATGTAGACAACTTTTTTTTTCTTTAAATAATCCAACCTTTAAAATGTTGCAGTTAATAGTGACATCATTTATCTCCTTATATTTTAGAATGGTTCTTTTTATTTGGCTTTATAGAATTCTCTTTGTACAATATCTATTTAAATATTTTTATTTCTAATTAATTTCTAATTTTTTGTATGTGAAAGTGCTACCAATAAAGGATATATAATTTGACTAAATAAAAATAGAATAACTCTTTAAATTGCAGACTAAAGTTTATTTTATACTCCAACTTATAATAAATATAAATTAGTATTTAATAGAAATATTGCATCCAATTTAGGATAGATTATAAATTTGAAGTCACAAATATTCATTGTTTCTAACTTTCACATTATGTTCTGAGATATATATTTAAAAAATTTCATTTAAAGCATATTAAAAGCTGCCTTTATTTTATGTATTTTTCACATTCTATCAAATAATTATTTCATAAGTTTGATGAGTTTAGCTACCAAAACATTCAGTTCAAAGCAAAACATTGTTTTTTACTTATTATCTCTTGACTTTGCTGTATTATAAATATAAATTGTTATGGAAATAAGTCCTTTCTGATGCATTTCATCATTGAATTGAACTTAAAGTAAATCCTAATGGATAATCTGGGATAAAAAGTCCATTTGGAATAAAATGCCAAATGTTACATTTAGATGTTAAATAGGTAATGCAATATTTATTTATTTTTATTTGTCAAACAGTATTTCCCTTTAGGATAAATAGGAACTGTTCATCTTCTTTAGGATGCCCTGATCAATATAAATTAATGCAAGGGCTGAAAGATCCCATTTTCTTGGTTTCTACCCTAAAACAAGTATATTTTAGTTCATTAGTAGAATAATCAGATTTTAAAGATAAAGTTTAAAAGTTTCCATATTTTATGGGCTTTTAACATCATAAATGTAAGCATTTGCAAGTCATTTTACAAAAGAGTAAAAGAAATGGTAACCATTTAGTTCTAAATTACTAAATGTTTAAGAGCACTGAATTCTAAGGTCCAAATGCATTGTGTTAAAGAGAAAACTACAGGAACAATGTATCATATAAAAGGCATTAACTTCCCACGGGTAGCATGTGGAGCACATGCCTTCAGGTTAAATTTAAATTTACACAAAAACTTGACTGCTAAGTTTCTCCAATAATAAGAATTATTGGGATAATTATTAGATATATAAAATTATTGGGATGCCTTCTAATACTATATTTTATACTCAAGGTTTGTTATTTAATTTCATCACTCTTTCAAAACCTGAAAGTTAATTACTGGTATATAGAATTGAGATTATAATCCCCAACTATATCTCAAAGTCTTATCTGTTAAATTCCAAATCAGTTTCTGTGTACACAATGAGTTTCTAAGAGATTACTCCTCTCCCAGCAGCTGGAAGAGTGGTTGGCAGGATTTCTAGCTGGAACCCACAGGGCGGCAGAAGAACCTCCTCGATCCTTGCAGAGTGTTTATCTCCACTTGCCCTCTTTCTGCTTCTTCAAAGTGCTCTCTAGGTTTCTGGCAAGGAATGTAATTCTTCCATTTGAAAAAATGGATTAGGAAAAAAATGTAGTTTTGCTACTATTAGAGTTATAGTCATCAAAATACCTATTCACATGAAACTTTTTATACCAGCTAGTCTAGATTATCATAGATAAATCAAACTCAGATTTTGAAAACTTGTTTAGGAAAAGAACTTTTAAGAATATAAGGTATGTAAGAACAATCAGTTTACAGAATACCCCAGATATTTTGACTTGCTTCAACATTTCAGAATGCTGCATAGCCAATCCAATGAATGCTTCATTTCTCTGAGTCATTCATTTGAGATATGAATAATATAATTTAGGCTTCTAAGTAGTTTATGCCAACTTTTGCTATAATTATCTCACTGTCTCTGTGAGAAGTTTTATTTGATTAATATTGGTCTGATTAACTCAGATATTCACACACACAGAGAAACCAAACATTGAACTCAAAATTTTCTATATTGAACTTTAATGTTTGCACTAGTTTCTTCTTTTATAGAAAGCAATTTATGGGGCCGGTGTTGTGGCTCAGTAGTAGAGAGCTTGCCTAGCATGCGTGAGGCACTGGGTTCGATTCCTGGCACCACATAAAAATAAAAACAAATAAAATAAAGGTATTGTGTCCATCTACAACTAAAAGGAAAAAAGCAGTTTATGGAAATACTCTTCAAATATTTTATTATTCACTTATTCATTTTGTTTTTTTCAATTTCATAAAAATTTTTATCTGCAAAATAATTCTGATGATGATTATGAGAAATTAATAAGATCTGATTCAGATATTTGTCTTTGTTTTTAAGTAATTAAATGTTACAAGAAGACTAGTATACAATTAAGACAGTTTGAAACATTTTTATTTGTATTTAAGAAAATAATTTGTTACTTTATATCAAATTAAAATTATTTGCATTAGATCTATTTTTATAAATCTAAGTTATTTTACAACTTGGTTATAAAAAGTATATTCATATTGTAAAATTAACTATTCTGTTTCTGAAAAAAACTCTCAAACTAAGATTGGTTACATATTTGTCATCTATCTGTTCATTAGCAAGGAAAAGAATTCTGATTTCTTAACTCTTTCCTAATCATACTGTTGTGTCTTTGACAACATGATTACATTTTTACATTTTTAACTTACATAGATTGTGTATCACATGCTTTTGGATGTGGGAACTTGGTTAGTTTAGTCAAAAAATATTGCTATTTTTAAAAAAGTATTTGCATGTTTTAATATGTTAAGAGTACTAACAGAAAGCAGTCACCTTGCTCTATGGAGTATATGGATACAAAATTAGACCACTTTTAGGCAATATTGTTCAGTAGGGCTGCTCTAGGACCAACATGCTTTCAAGTCCTAATCATTTTAATGAAGCATGTGGATGAAATAGATGAGTCAGGTTTGTATTACTTCATTTTTTGTAGTCTCCCTCAGTTGGGTTCATAATTAACAAACTCTTAAAAACAAAAAACAAAACAACAACAACAAAAACAAACAAACAAAAAACCAAGAGGCATGCTAGCCCACTGTTATAGACAGAATTCTGGTTCAAGCCTTAATAACTTTAATCTTCTAATCAGGTTACCTCAGGTCTTTTACACTAAATGAATATGTATAGTGAACCTATTTTATATGTTGTTTAGAATACTCAAAAATCATGTTTAAATGACCCTGGAAAATTTGTTGATGTTATGGTTATAGATGATTCATATGAAAAGAATTCTTTTTAACTTGGAATATTTTTCTGTCCGTACAAACATGAAAATTTATCTTGTATAATCTTTTCAGAGTTTTACATTGGAGGGTTGTATACATTACAGAACTAATACATATGTTTAAGTGTACATATTCATATGCATATGTGTTCCATAGAGAACTGGAAGTCTTTCTGAATAGAATACAAATTTTATTTTTTAAAGTGATCTGCTCTGTAAGCTCAGTAGCTACATTTTCTAAGCCAACAGTTAATATGGGTTTAATGACTTACATTTGATTACATAAGTGCAATATTTGCAATTAACATGATTCTGAAAAATTCAATTAATTGTCATGGTTAAAAGCAATACTGAACATATTTTAAATAATTTTTTCTTAAAAGTCTGAAAGTTCAAGTTCTCATTTTAACCACAGATCTTAAAATATGTAAGCAAAATGGAGAAAAGTGCTTTAACTTATTTAAATGTCCATTTCATCATTTATAACATTTGACTCTAAATTTCTACAGAAGAAGTGAAATTAAATTCATCTTTTTATCAGTGGATGCCTACCACATTGTTTGGGTTGTCACTGGCGATAAATAAAATGAATTATTTTATTTCCATAATTTTAATTTAAATGATATTTCATTTTAAATATTAATTGTTTATTTTACCTCTTATATATGTCATGGAAATTTTTTTGAGACAAGTAATATGAAATATTTGCTGCTTTTGTGGAACTGTTGTTCTAGTGTATTTAGGAAACTTGAGTTTGAAACCGTGCTCAAGCATCAAGAAAATGTATGACTTTAAGAAAAATTCTTGAAGTCTATTTTACTTCTTCTTTTGTAAGAAAGTAAATAAACAAATGAAAAATTTAATTTTGCTGAAGTTGAAATGTTACTGGATAAAATTTTCTAAAAATTCTATATTCTAAATTCTGTACTTTAAAGGTATTTTTCAAAAAATACAGGATAATGCAACTTTATAATGTGAACTATAGGTTGAAAATATTGCTTTACTACATGTCATTGTCATGTGCCTTCTAAAATTATGAAAAAACACATTGAGATAGAAATACTCATAATTATAAAACCAATTTTTTTCATTTTATATAAGTTCTTTGCCAATGTCTCATGAGTTTCTTTCCCTTTTGGGAAAGAATGAGTGAATTTTGTCCTTTCTGTTTTCAGAATTCATCCCATTATACAATGTTATTATTTTATTATCTAGAGGTACCTTGAGATAAGTAAATTATAATTCTCTAAAAGTGAATAGACTCTTTTTTTTTAGAGAGAGAGAGAGAGAGAGAGAATTTTTTAATATTTATTTTTCAGTTCTCGGCGGACACAACATCTTTGTTTGTATGTGGTGCTGAGGATCGAACCCGGGCCGCACGCATGCCAGGCGAGCGCGCTACCGCTTGAGCCACATCCCCAGTCCGTGAATAGACTCTTGATATAAAACCTCATACAAAGCAGTTTGCTGTTCATGTATTATAACAAACCAACATGAAAGACACATTAGGTACCATGCTAGCAGACTTAGTAATGTGTTTTTTTCTATAACAATTAGAAATTTTATTTATGACTGATTAACTAGATTGTTTGAATTTTCTGAAGAAATATTTGTCTTCAGAATTACAAGTAATACAGGGAAAACTAGTATGTCTCTATATATGCTTGACTCTGTGAAGAAAAGGATATTGTCTAAGATGAAAAATGATGTTCAGGTATTTACACTGTTTCTGGAGGTTTTTAAAGCCGGATCTCTTCAGTCTCTGAATTTTAGCAGTTTACTCTTAGATTTAATGAAGAACTTTCAAGTATTTTTGCATATTGTGTTTGCAGTGGACTGGAGAAATTTTACAAACTGTATGACTTCTCTGTTTGCTGTGTCTTATTTCTACTAGCTCCAGTGGCTGTTGGACAATTATGAGACAGCAGAAGGAGTGAACCTTCCCAGAAGCACTCTGTATAACCACTACCTTCGACACTGTCAAGAACACAAACTGGACCCTGTCAATGCTGCCTCTTTTGGAAAACTAATAAGGTCAATTTTTATGGGGCTGCGAACCAGGAGATTGGGCACTAGGTTAGTACTGAAAAATAAAGTCATAAACTTACTTCCCCTTTTCAAATTACAGCAGTTTTGTGAATTGTTTGAGAAAAAGTACTTGATTACAGGAATACATAAGGGAAAAATATAGATTAAGAAAAGGAAAGTCACTGAATACTACCAAGCCAGAATGATATGCTGTCCTAAACACTGAGTGAGCAAAGCTTTGAGAACATTTGATTTTCAGCCTACATAGAAATTAACTGACTCAGGAGGGTGAGGTAGGAGGATCACCAATCAAAGCCAGCCTCAGCAATTTAGAGAGGCCCTAAGCAACTTAGCAAGACCCTATCTCAAAATAAAAATTAAATGGGCTGAGAATGTAGCTCAGTGATTAAGTGCCCCTGGGTTCCATCCCTGGTACCAAAAGAAAAAAAGAAAAACATTAACTGTTAATGCAAGGCTTGCACATGATATTTTAAAAATCAATATGTGTCACTTATTTTTTTAAAAACACTGAAGGTTTAGTGTTTGACATTGTAAATAGGAGACTATCTCCTGATTTTTACAAAATTATATTTAATTATCTTTATAATAACCTTATTTGAGTAGAGAAAAAATTAAAGCTGGGTTTCACTTCATTTCATGAAGCTAGGAGCAATTAAAAGTCATTTGGTAAATTTGCAAAATATAGGCATTTGAAGTCCTCTGTGATGACATAGATCATATTTTACCTCTTATTTGCCTTTTATTTATTTGTGTTTTCTGCTCTTAATCATGAAATTATCATGTGTAGAAGTTAGAACATGGTATAGTTCAATTGTATAGAAGCCAATAATGTAAAGAAGCACTTTTCAGTTTCTGTTTTCCTTCATTTGAAAATTAATGACTATTTTTACTAATCAAAGATGATGAAAAGAATACTTAGAACTGTGGAGTTTGTTTTTGTCTTTCCATAATTTCTACATAATGGAAACAAATATTTTATATATTTAGGCAGAAATATTTGGGTGTTTTTGACTTTTTAAACTTACAGAAATTATATAAAAATATTCAACATAGAGATGCTACACTGTATAACTTTAGGTGATGTACCTTTAAATACTTATAAATAATAACCTCAGAGTTTTTTTTTTTTTTTTTTTTTTTTGGTAAAGAATTTACCAAAATAAAGAGTTTAGTAAAATAAAAAGTACCTTAGTAATTAACTTCATTATATATTAATTCCAAAGCGGGTCTTATGACCTATTTTCATGGGAAGGTCATCTAGTTTTTATGTTCCACTTCACGGAGAATTCATTCTACTTTCTATGGCCTGTTTCTGCCGTTTTCTCCTGCCAAGGTACATATTTTGGGATAGTATGTCTTGAACCCTGGCACTTTGTCGGTTTTATAAGATTTATAGGTCTGTATGCATTAGAATTCTGAATTATTCCATGATGTTGTTTTTTTTTAATGTATTTTTTATTAGTTCTAATCAGTTATGCATGACAGCAGAAAGGTCTTTGATTCATTGTACACAACTTTTAAGTAATAGTATGGCTTTTAGATTGCTGGAGGTTCAGTTCTCGCATAAATATATTTTCTTCTATCTATACTTCAAAATAGTAGTATATTTTAAACTACAGAACATGATTATCTCTTCAGACTAAAGGAACCAGTTTTCATTCCCTTGAAAAAAGCTTTTTGTTTCTTTAGTATTTTTTTAAAACCAAAATGAGGAAAATCATCATTTGGGGACCTAACCCTCTATTTCTGAATTGATAGCTCAGTAGTTACATATACTGTGCCAATATTTTGAAACTCTGGGCTTTATTCAACATTCTAATAGCTGTATTGTTGTGCTGCTTTTGTTACTGAAAAGGATTTCAATGGGTCCTATTTTGAGGCTCCATTCAAACCTTGAAACATCTTTAATAATAGAAAGGGATAAAATTGGGGTTGTTTGGGTTTGTGAATGAGTAGAATCCATGTTCTCTAAGTACATTTTACAATATTTCAGCTTTTACTTCTAATGTTCCCCCAATCCCCAACAATTATGTCTCCTGTTCCTTTTAAAATTGTGTTGTGTGTTTGCAATTGAGTTAGAATGCAAAGCCTAGAAGAATGAGGAGAAAATAAATACTATGCAAGAGTATGGGCTTAAACAAATGAGGTGTTATAAAGAGAGAGAATTATAATGTAGGAAAATTGACAGTATTAGTGGTAGGGTAAAGTCCCAAAGATTCACTCTACTATGGCATTTACTTTCTACTCCTAATCCAAGAAGTAAATCAATATAAATCATGAGGCAAACTAAATCAGCTATTTTTAAAAATTTTTTTTAGTTATACATGGGCACAATATCTTTATTTTGTTTATTTATTTTTATGTGGTGCTGAGGATCGAACCCAGGGTCTCACATGTGAGAGGTGAGTGCTCTACCTTTGAGCCACAACCCCAGCTCCAAAATCAGATATTTTTAAAAAGGAAAAAAAAGGTGAACTTTATGCCAGGAATGTTATGTATCAGTAGTATTATCTGTTGAAATTATTAGAACCAGACCACATCTTTTCTCAAGTTTGGGGGTCTAAGTAAACAACAAATAAATGAAATCACTGTATTTTTAAATAAAGGTGAATAAAAGGTACTGTTTTTTAGATCCCTTCTCCAAATCAAATTTGAGCAAAACTGACTATGGATATACTTCACTCTCCAAACCCTTTCCAGTGAATAAAAAGAACTTCCACTCCCTCCCAACCCAAGCAAAATGATGATATGTAGAAAATTGAAAAAGAACTAGATACTTCAAGAGAAACATCATTTTACTTTTCAGTTTTTCCCCATGATTAATGCCTTTTACCCCTACCTATGCTACTTGCTTTCTACCCATACCTATACTATATCCTTACCTTATACTATCTGCTATCCTTCAGTTTGTATGAAAAACACTACAAATTGTGTTTGTGGTATTTCTTGTTTGTATTTTTAGCTCTGTCTTTGGACTTTGGAGAGCAAGATCTAATTTCTGCAAGTGATTAGACTTTGTAGGCATTAAATTTTCATTTTTATTTAGCTGAAAGAGTACATATATTCAAATGACTTTTTTTTAAATTAACAATATTATTTATGTAATATGATTTTAATGTCTTCAAATGTATAGTGTTCATATAATATATGTTAATCTTGGAAGTAAAATTCTACTCTATTTTTATAAAAACTATTTAATCCACATTCCTCTTGCATTTCTTTTTCTAAATGAAAGAAAAAATTGGAAAGAGCACTGATGTCTTGCTGTATATAGACTTGTGAAAAACTATTTTCTCTTTGCAAGAATTTACATATTTAAAATGTTATTTTTGCAAGAATTTGCAAATTCCATTCAGAGCAAAACTTGTCATTTCTAATAGCAAACATGGTCTTTCTCATGAACATGGGGAAATTGTGACATTTTTATTCCAGGTGGACATTTGCCATTTTCACAGAAAAATTTCCCCATGTCTGTTGTGATATATCTTATTCAGCCTACAAAACTGATATAAATTCACTAAAACAGAGACTAATAAAATGTGTTTCAAAATAAAAAATATCATCTTGTTTTAAGTTTAAAAATACTAATGTTTCACTACAACATCCTATAATAAATTTATCTTATTTCATCATTCCTATGATAAAGAGAAAAATGTTGAACTTGTCCAAGTCTGTAGAATTTTTCTTTGTTCTTAATTTGCCACTTACAAATTCATATTTAATGTACAGTCCTTTATCCTATTAATGAATTTTTGTTGGCCAAAACTGTTTTCCCACATTAAATTACATTTAAAATATTAATTTGAAAACAAAATACTTATCTTAGGGTCTTGAACTGATTGACTCAGAATCTTATTTTGATTCTTCAGATGTTCTCACTATAAAAACATAATAGGTATCAGGAAAAGATAAATAAAAAATATATAAGATTAGTATGCTGCTTTTACCTGATTTTTCAAAATGTGAAATTAAATGGACATTCCCTGTGGTTGATACTGGTTTGACTTTGTGTTTCCAATGTTGTTCTTTTATAAAGAGGAAACTCCAAGTACCATTACTATGGAATTCGTGTCAAGCCAGATTCTCCTCTTAATCGTCTGCAAGAAGATATGCAGTATATGGCTATGAGACAACAACCCATGCAACAGAAGCAAAGGTAGACTCTGGAGTTATCATTGATATGTCAAAGCTATATATTTCTAAGTTGCTTAGATCACTTTTTTCTGAACAGAACAAATACCTAAGTGCATATGAATGTGGCTGCTGTTGACAAACTTTCACCATAGATAACTTTTAAATGTTCTAGAATTTTAATGTTCCTGTTTTCCACATTTAAAGAAAATATTTATTCTTTCATCCTTTTGGCCCTTTTTAAGTTAAGTGTAACATCCAATCCTCCGAAACTATTCAGACAGGGAAGTGAAACATAAAACACAGAAGCACACCTAAGCATATAGCAGCAGGAGAACTTGTTTCATTATCATGAGCTTCTCACTTGCTGTTCTGCATATCATTCCTTTTGACTAAGTATGAAGTCTTGCAGAATGTTTGGGACTTTAACACTTTCTTTGAGTCCAACTTTTATTAATATAGAATTGCAGATATTGGAGTCATAAGAGATATGAAGCATTCATGAATGGATGACTGGATGGATAATAGGATAATATATCTTAGGAGTGAAAAATACCTCAATCTAGTCTGGTCCCATAGCCTTTTGACAATCAAAGCATTGGCAACCCTGCTTTACGGATGAATCCCAGAAATGATTTATTTGCACAAGCCCATAATTCCGTTTCTTAGCCAAAGACTTTCTAGTCAGTCCCATGTGCCTAATATCAAAATTTAGAAAAACAAAAACAAAAAAAACCTTCCTCCTTTTACCAGCATCACTCAGCCATACCTGTAATTATTATTTTTTATTTCAACCTAACATATTGTATTCAGTAGGAAAAAAGGGGGTCTCTGCTTAAATCCTAATCCATTAATCTAGTTGACTTGGCCAGTTCTCCACATCCATACTAGTTTAATAAGAAGCACTAACTCTAAGACACTGATAGAAAAAGAATGTATCACACAGTAGTCCTTCATCTATTTAATCAGCAAACATTGAATCTCTTTTGTGTGCTAGGCATTGCATGCAGAGGATAAGACATAGTTTCTACCTTAGGTTAAAACATTAAAAGTAGAGATGTATGGGAAAATCGGGAGGGGAAAAGGAATGCAGTCTGAGACATGTTAAAATATAACTTTGGTCAAGAAACTATAAACTACAAAGTAATTTTCAGGAAACTCTGGAGAGTGAGGATTGGGAAATTTCATAGAGAAGTGCTCTTCAGTACAGAGAGACCAAGAGGAGTCAGAAAAAAAAGGGAATATTCAGGCAGAAGGAACATGTAAACAAAGTCACCTAGGGATAATATCTATGATGTCTTTAGTAAATGGCCCATGATTTAGTGAGGTTGGTATTGCAAAAGGAACATTGAAGAGATGACAGAATAGCTTACTGGGAGATGCAGTTTAGAAAGCAGTTTGGATCATATATTAAGGGATATAGTTGTATATAAAGCTAATAAGTTTGTTTTTGTACAGAACATAGCTTTGAAGCTTTTTAAGGCTTTGAAGCAAAACAATTGAACTTTGATTTTTTCTAGAGTGATGACTTTTTGATTTGGGGCAAGACATATTTAATGGGAATAGACTGGAGGTAAGGATACTTGTTAAGTGGTTTTAAACACAGTGATAATTTCCAGTGTATGTATTCCAGCCTGCAGACTCAGTTCAAGATTTGCTTTATAAAGAGGTATCTCAAGAGTTTTAGATTTTTAATTCATAAATTCTCAATTTTGTTTTTAATAGTGGATTCATATTTTTTTAAATATAGCCAATGAAATATATTAAGAAGGAGTCCAAACAATTAACAGAATGAATCATAGAGTAGAACCTTATATAGTTGAAGATAGTGTTTGAATGAGTTATAATAAACTGTTACTTATTGTCTTGGATTATAATTTTTCTCCTATTTACTAGTAGCAGCGGCTACAGCTCTTACTTGCTGATGTGATCTCTACCCTCATGCATAGCAACATTACACATTGTGGCTATAGTGAAATAAAAAAAAAAAAAGAAAAAGCTTGATTCAAAAGTAACATACTCAAAATAATTATGAGCAAAACCTTGTTAAATTATACCTAAGAGAGCTAAAACCTACTTCTTCATATGATTTAGCTTTCATGAAAATGTAGGTTTTCATAGAACATTTTTTTATAAAAAGCCTAAAATACTCAAGTAGGAGCTACAGTTTCTAAGGTCTTCTATGAAACAGATTCCAGAGCTATCAAAGTTAAGGAGCTATGAAAACCTCTGCAACCTCCATAATTGCTTTTAGAAACAGATGCAATATGTATGTATTTAGGAAGTGATATAAAATTCTCAGTAATATTAATAAATTCTACCAACTTGAATTTCTTATCATATGCTTTCTTGTGAAATAAGAGTGTTAGGTACTGAACCCTCTTTTCATTCATTTGTGTTTTTGATGATGCAAGTTTTGTATTGTAGACGGTTGCTCTTGAAATTCTGTCTTGATAAATGATTGCATTAGCGTTGTCAATTGCACAGATTTCTTTATTGAGATGAGCAGGAAGCTTCAGTTGTCTCATTGAAGGAGACTCTTCACTGACAACCTGCGTAGGCCTCAACTGAACCCAGTTACTTCATTGTGTAGAAGTACTTGGATAGAAGAGAGTTTCTCTCCTTGCATCTGGATGTAAGGGTGAAGTTAAGCATATTTGTTTAAAATGATGGAAAAAGAACTTATTGTATCATTTGTTTTATGCCTTAAACAATTAAAAATTGATGATTCCAAAAGTGAAATGATTCTATTGAATGTATTACGATTTGTATAAGAAGAAACTTACACATGATGTTAAAATGCAAGTGATATGTGAAAGGTTTAAAATATTTTATAGCAGGTACTGGTATTTAATATGGCAGAATATTCAGATTGTTTAAATGCCTTCATGATTATTGAATATATCCATGTGGGCACATCTTCCATGTTATATAGTCACATGTTTCATGTGTTCTTATAATGAAAAAATTCAAGTATATTCAGTTATTATTTTGTTAATTAAATTCAGGTGTTTAATTTGTAAATTTTTCTAGTGGATTTGGTATTAAAGTACTTTTAGAGATGTAATTATTATTATTTTATATGGTTGTATATTATCTTTAGCTCCTTTATATGCAGAATCTTATTTGAAGATTAATAGGATCATAGAGGAAATTTCCACTTATCCGCAAATCATGGAACATAGCCATGAGTCTGGAAATAAATGGAAAGTGCTTCTGACTGAAAAGCAGATGTCACACAGAGTCTGTAGTTTCATGTACTTGAAAAGAAATATCCATCCTCAAACCATTTACTTAAAATAAAGGTACAGATTAAGGCCCACTTGATTCATAGGCAACCATGGAATACGACAGCTGGCAAAGGAAGTATAAGTGGACAGGGTCTTCTGCTTACTTTTGAGTTGTTCATTACAGTAGTTTGTTGATATTCAGTGGCGAACAAATGGACCCAGGCACTCCGGTAAGCCCTTAGAGTAAGATTCTAGAGAATACAATCTAGTCTGACACAATGTAAAAACTGCTTTGCAGATTGATGGCATTTTGGGTAATTAAGAAGAGGAAGAATGTATAATTTTAATAGCTTCTGTTGAAAACATCTCTTATAAAAATAATATTTGCATTTAAATGAGGTAATCTTAAGTTCTTAAAGAGATTCACTAATGGACTAATTTGCTTTCCCTAATTTAGACAACATTAATTTAGGTTATCAAAGAACAAAAATGAGATCAGTAATTTTCAGCTCTACAAACTAAGTAAAAATGTTTGCTTCAGTTTCCTTTTAATATTTAAAAGAAGTACATGAAGAATATTGGCACTATATTTTAGTTATTCTTCCAAATCCTAGTAGCAAAAGTAGTGAAATGAAGCCAAGTGTTTTTGACAATGTGCTTGTCTGTGTTTGATTCCAGTAGCCATTCTCAAAATATTAAACTGCATTTATCATTTCTTCAACAAATATATATATCAATTGTCAGTTGCATTAGAATATGTGCATCACATCTAAAAGAGATGGCACAGGATTCTAAATGCTAGAACCTGAAAGAAGAGATGGCCTAGTCCAACTCACTCTTTTTTTTTTTTTTTTTTTTTTTGTGGTGTCAGGGATCAAACCCAGAGTCTCTTGCATGGTAGACAAGCCCTTAACCACTGAGCTAAAATTCTCAATCCTCAATCCATCCTCTTGATAAGAAAATGGAAGTCCATAAAGGGAATAACATCTGAAATCATATAACAACCTAGATACGAACCCAATTCTCTTGTCAAAGAGGTAATATAATCTATTCAGAAACATATAATATTTTTTTCATAAAATGGAAGGAGAAAACACATTTTAATGAGTATATTTCAATTAAGTTAGGAAATGTGCTACTTCCTACCTATTTGCATGGTCTCTTCACAGGAATTGAATTCTGTGAAAGAAAGAACTTTTGTGGCACTGAAGGGGAAGCCAAGAGAGGTCCTGTGAAAAGATGTTATAGCAAAACTGTTTTTGCTTTGTCTATGATTATTTGTATTTATATAAGGAGAAAGGAAGTATTATTATTATTATCATCATTATTATAAGTACTAGAGAAATAATCTTTAGGAATATTCTGGTGCTTTGGAGGAAAATGCAGCCTGGCAATTAGACAAGTTTGGCTTCTGTTTCTTTATACTCTATGCTTGTGGTTTTCAACGTTGATTAATGTTAATAGTTTATAATTATTTTCTAGACCGTGAGTTCCCTGGGATCATCACAGAGCTAAGCATCTAGGGCAAGTAAATTGGTCTGAGGCAATGAGGGTGGCAGGCATCTTTAGTGAGATGATCTGGTGCCTGTGCATTGTTGGAGACAAATAAGAAATCTTGGCATTTAAAAATGTTCAATGTGCACTGTGGTACTCCATGATGAAATGACCATATTTTCCATTAAAGTCCGGAAAATTATAAATAATCACAACTCAGTAATTTCAAACTATAGTAATTCATGTAAAGTTTGATAATAGTAACAGTCACCACTAACTTATTCTCCTGATAAGTATTTAT